AGTAGTAGTAGTAGTAGCAGTAGTAGTAGTAGTAGTAGTAGTAGTAGTAGTAGTAGTAGTAGTAGTAGTAGTAGTTAGTAGTAGTAGTAGTAGTAGTAGTAGTAGTAGTAGTAGTAGCAGTAGTAGTAGTAGTAGCAGTCGGTAGTAGTAGTAGTGCTAGTAGTAGTAGTAGTAGTAGTAGTAGTAGTAGTAGTAGTAGTAGTAGTAGTAGTAGTAGCAGCCGTAGTCGTAGTCGTAGTCGTAGTCGTAGTCGTAGTAGTAGTAGTAGTAGTAGTAACTACTAGTAACTAGTCTAGTAGCAGTAGTCGTAGTAGTGGTAGTAGTAGCAGTACTAGATTAGTACAGTTTCTAATACTAGTCTTCGTAGCAGCACGAGCCGTAGTAGCAATACTAGTAGTCGTCCTGGTAGTGGTACCTCCGCACACATGCACCAGTTTCTTCTAGCCACGCACTTTCAGGATTCAGTCAGTCTGACTTTGTCAGTCACTGAACAAGCTTTGGGATGGGCCATTGCCACGCCCGGGGCTGCCGACTGACTTGAAAGGGCAGCGATTCTCCGTGTCAGAGACACGGATGAATGGCAAGGCTCCGGCAATAGGCAGCTCTCAAGTGTCAAGGATGGACCACCATTTGATGAACGATTGGACCATAATGAATTACTAGCTGTTGAAATTTGGATATGGCAATAAACCATGCACCCTTCCTACTGAAACACTGCTGTTGCCAGAGCCATTCCGTGTTCTTGCAAGTCAATTGAGGGACCTAGCTATTTCATTCAAAGGAGTAAATGACCAGTGCATTAGCCGCCTAGCTCAACTCTGACTCTGACTGACCTGCAAGAATCTAAGAAACATGTTGTGAAGGACCAACGGTCTACTCCAAAATGATCCAGCTTTCTTCTTCCTCCCTGGCTACATACAGGACACAACGATTCACACGAAGTGTCACAAATGCTCGGCCCAAGTAGCGGATGGACCTGGCGCCGCTGTCATCCACCATGTACAGATGGTCCGCTTGGGGCCTGAACCGGATGTAGTGCAAGGGTATGCCGGTGGTGCAGGCGAAGCCGACGAGGTGTAGTTCGAAGGACCCACCAGGCAGACGTAGAAGTCGCCATTGGCCAACGCTGCCCACACCAACGTGGCCCCTTCTGGTCCTGCGGATATGATGGACCTGATAATGATTGGGTGCCACCTCCAGCAGAAGGACCTCTCTCCGGTTTCCATGATACCACGCAAAGACAATGGTTTCTGCCCTGAGCAGCTCCATCGCTGCAGAGGGACCGGAGAGCTACAGGCTGTAGCTGGGATCCAAAAGCTGCCGAAAATGAACATCGCACGACGGAGTTCGGTGGACCAAACTTAAATTAGACAGTCCTACTTAACCTGCTGAAGCAGTCGGGTGGCAGATGGGCCACGGTGTTGGCCTCCACGGCTTGGCAGAGCAAAGCCAATTCGCATGCCGCGCTGGCGAGGGACTGTTGAGTCATGCTGGCCCAGTTAGCATTGCCAGTGATTCTCCGAAGGTCCTCCTCCGGCACACGGCGCTGGATGTGGAACAGGGACCCAGGCCAGACAATCCCAGACGTGTCATCCCGACCCCGCACTTCTTCAATACCGGCAGCACGAAGGACCCCAGTCAGAGACAAAGTCTGCCAGAGATCATGGTCGGACATCTCATGCGACTTATTCTCCTCGCCCTCTCGCTGACGGGCCTTCGAAAAGCCCTCCTCATTCCACGTTGCCCCAAATCCGGAAAAAACGCGAAGGGCCCACTGCTTCACTTCCTCCGAGAGGGACCAGTCGCTGCGCTGAAGGGCCAGAACCACATCCTGCATGATGGAGAGACTGAAGGGCGATCGCCTTACAAACCCTTTGCACCATTTGGAGTTTGTCCGTCGTGCCACCTGATCAGCTTCCCAGCATCGCTTCAGCTGGAGCACGGTCGCCTCAGCAATTGCTCTGTCAGGAGATACGAGAAGGACCAATCTGTACGGGTAGGAGAACAGAGGGACCGATGCGTACAAGAGCTTCTGATGCAGAAGGGCCAATGTCATCTCCAACATCCTGGCCATCCGGGCGGACTGCAATCGACACTCAGGATGATCACTCAGCATCCGCTGCACATATCCACCATGGAGGGACCCACTGCACCACAAGTCCAAGAAGGCCCACACCTCTGGCGAAAGCATCTGCTGCAGGATTCGGTCGCAGATACTCAGAGGCTCGCTGGAGGCTTCTCGCAAATGGATCTTCAAAGTTTGGGAGGGGCCCAACTTAGCGAGATTCCGCAAGTCGTGAAGAGCTTGGGACTGTGGTTTCGAGAGGAAGTACCAGGCGTCCAGGTCGAAGCGGAGGTCCGTATTGAGAAGGGCCGTGACTACACAGTGCAGCTTGTTCTTGCACCGTGCCCACAGCTTGGCCCTGGACTCCCCGGACATCGTGACCGGTTCGTCCTCTGCTGCGGTGCCTGCACCAGAAGGACCCTCCAAGGTGGCTTTGGCCTTGCCCAAGAAACCCATCTTCACGCCGAAGGACACGAGCAGCATGCACAAGAGGGACATTTCTGGTCTTCTCTCTTCCCAGCCCGAGTGGAAAGTATCCCATCTGGAAATGTTCACAGGGCCTCTCTTCTGCAGGAAAGAGGCCTTTCGAACCTCATCCATGACCTGGCTCATGGACAGGGAGGCCTCGCTCACCCCGAGGTCGCGAGCCACCCGTGGCCGAAAGAAGTGCAGAAGGGCCGAGGACTCCGGAGTTCCCGCAGCTTCCAGCATGGACAGAAAGTCGACGCACTCCTCCTGACATTGGTGTCTCTCTCTCTCTCTCTCTCTCTCTCTGTCTCTCTCTCTCTCTCTCTCTCTCTCTCTCTCTCTCTCTCTCTCTCTCTCTCTCTCTCTCTCTCTCTCTCTCTCTCTCTCTCTCTCTCTCTCTCTCTCTTAATAAAAGAATCCGTGGACATCCAACTTATAAATTGAAATGCAGAAGAAGAAAACATACCTTTGACAGCAGGGTTGCTTGAAGGACTCTGAACCATCGATGACCCTGCCAAGGGCCTCTTGAGAAGTTCAGTATCATCTCACTGATGATCATGGCGGGTTTCATGTGCTCGATGTGCGTCAAGGCATTTTCGAGCTCCCTTGACAGCCTATGACGGCCATCCCAGAAGGCCACAAGTCTGATGCCCAAGCTGTTCTGAAGGAACTGAAGTCCGCTCTGGAGATCCGGACCCGCGTCGGCAGTCACGATCAATGTGGGGAGGGACCGGAGATCTTGGCTGCCTGCAGTCTCTGTGCGTCGGAAGGACAGCAAGCCTTTTTCCAGAGCAGGGAACATAGACTTCAGCGTCTGGTTCAAGCCCACTAGCTGCTCGTAGGATGCGTGTCGGGTGGCCTTCTTCACGACAGGCTCCACTGCCTTGGAAGGGCCGGACTCCACTGCCCGCAGGCTGTCCAAGAAGCGAAGACTGTTTGCATCAAGCCGTTGTTGTTCACTTGCGCAAGGAACCTTGTCTGCATCCGGGAGGCGATAGCCAGAGTCTTTGAAACGAAGAGGAGGGGCCCATGCGCCGATTTGTGAGACAGCGTCTAGAACGCAGTAAAGCCACCTCTTGCGACCTCCTGCCCGTCCTCCGTCCATAGCCACATGCAGGAACCGGCTCGCAGAGAAGGTCCTTCGGGCACTTTCCAAGTACTGGCCCTCTCCTTCTTCTTTTGACGGGCCACACAAAAACGGCGAGAGGCCTCGGCCTGCATTCGCAGTCGTGTCTTAGCAGCGGATGTCAGCTTGGCCTTCCTGTCGGCCGCCTTTCTCTTGTTGGCGTTCCAAGCTTTGCCTAACACAGCCTTCATTCGCATCTCTCGCATGTTAGGATCGCGATGGTCTGCTTGCTCCAAAGAAAATGTGTCCTGTTCGGAAGGGCCGCTGGCGAAGGACTGGCATGCCACGCCAAGATCCAAGATGGACCCAAGAGCCTCCACAATGTCCCAGACCAGCCACCTGAAACTCTTCAAGTTAAAGAGCTTGATGAGACAATGTTGTACTGAAAGACTTCGCCTGAGTCTCCGAGGCAAGGGCCTGTCTTGCCTTGCTTTAAAGATGGACCGCTGACATATCTGAGAGAGGTCCCCAGACCCCCGGGCGGATCTACTTTCTAGATCCACCTTTGGTCGCGGATCTACTTTTGTACAGGGGGTTCTAGATTTTGTTGTGTCACCCGAAATGCGAGTTTGTGGCAGATCTTGGATAACAGTATACAAGACGGCTCTGCACGCCAAAAGTTTGTCAGTTGGCTCAAAGATTTTGGAAAAAGAAGAAGAAGAAGAACCCTAAGGCCCTAAATATGAAACCTTTACAGACCTCGCCCTAAAACCTGTAGTGTATTGGAAGGAACACCTCGAAACTCACGAAAACCATAAAACAGGAGGAGTCGTGTAACATCTAAAAATAATGCATACACTGCGAAGGAACACCGGAAATATCGAATGGCTGTGCAGCATCGTCCTGTGTTGAAGCCGTAAATCACATAGTCGTCGTCCGTCGTCGTCGTCGTCGGCCGTTGTTCGTCCGTCGTCCGTCCGTTGTGGTTTTGTGATGAAAACTCGCTCCGGCAACCGCCCGCTCGATATCTGGCTTGGCGAGGGTCGACTGTGGCTTTCTTTTGCGGGTGAAGGGCGAAGGGTATATAGGTTAAGCTTGCCTTTGCGACCGTACCAGCCTACTTTAAAGACACTAACATTATTGTACTTACTTACTGGATGTGGGTCTCGGATGTGAGGGTTTAGACAGCTAATTGAAAGGATACGCCCCCGAACCTAAAGCCTGAACCCTAAACCCTAGGACCCTTTAATGTCGGAGCTTGTCGAGGTAGGCCAGGTCCACTTGAAGTCAACTGGGCTCGTCGCTGGGGCGGCGGGCTTGAGGGCCACGTTCGCGGGTTTGACAAGGGCTCAGGGTTGAGAAGTTTCAGTGTTCAGACTTCGGGGCCCGCTTAGTGCTGCCATGCCTCCGAAGAAGCGACCTGCCGCGATCGCGGCTGATGATGACGAAGAAGAGCCTCGGAAGAGTCGGAAGGGGTTCAAGGAATGGCACAAGCTGCGAGATGCTCTGTTGCCGTTCATAGACAAACGATTTTTTACTTCGTACCCCACGGATCGCTCAATCGCGAAGATCGACAAGAAGAAACTGTGCTCGCCGTTCTTTGTGATCAAAGTATAGAGTACAGGCTTGTTTTGTTATAAGCTTATTCTGTAGATAGTGGCTGGGTTTTGTGCTGCTAGAGTGCACTCGAATCAAGGCTCTTCCAGGGCATCTTGAACAACTGCAGACAGTTGAGTCCTACGTGGAACTTTCCGGATACCGTCATCAAGAAAGCCTTGCTAGGGGTGCTAAAGCACGAGGACAGCATCTACTGTTGGGTCTTGGTACTGATCCTATCGGTATCTCTCTCTATCTCTCTATATATATATATATATGCGCATACCTTACTTCTATCTACTGTTATTGTCCGCATGCGAGAGGACAAAGCACATTTGGCAGAGCAGGTTAAAGAAGCCGATCGGGATGCATGGTCAACCACCAATTCCTTACGACTCAGTGCTGCTTTCCGACACTACTCGCAAGCCACCCTTCGCCAAAGAGAATGGGTTCCAAAGGCTGGGGTTGAGGGAGGCCAATCAAACTTAGTTGGGCATTAGCTATATTCATTAGCTTCTGTACGGTTTCTTGGGGCCCTTCCGTTCAGGCACACAAACCTCTCAGAAGATTGGCTTCAGATGAGCCCACGGGAAAACGTAGACTCAGACGAGTTACTGGCAAGCAGCGAGATCAGAGCCGTGATCCACCGAAGGCACAGCCGAAGGCACAGCCGCAGGATGAGGTGGCCTGTGAAGACATGGACGGGGAACACGGAGCAGATGATGTTAGCGGCAGTGATGACTCCAGCTCAAGCAGCAGCAGCAGCAGTGACAGCAGCACCAGCACCAATAAGATGTCTAGCCCGGAAGCCAACAATCAGCCCGACCATGAGCCCGAGAAGGAGCCCGCAGACAACGAGCCCGCAGACAATGAGCCCCCGCCAAAAGTACAGGCAAGCAGCAGCAGCAGCTCAAACGCACAGCATGGTCTGTCCGACCTTTGGATGATTTATTATAGCTAGATCCTCTTATATATATGCTTCCTATTACTTTTACATATAGTTAGCGGCCGATTCTTGAACTTTGGAACCATCCTTGTAACAAAGTTGCATCTGATCCTAGTGGCACTGCAGTCCCATCAACCCTCGAAGTTGAGATACATTATGTTCCAGTCTTGTGGCAGCTGCATCATATATCGCGATCCCGCCCAGGAAGCAGCGGCGGCTTTCCTGGCCAACGATTGGTTTTTGAACACGCTGGATGGGATGATGGGCGGCTTTGATCCATCGGCTAGTGGTGCGAGTTACTCGGCTTTCCTTTGGAGTCGGCTTGGGATCCTTTAATTCGGATTGGAACTAAGCTAGGGTTTCCCCAATAGGTTTCGTGTGCCTGTGCTGGGCTCGTTGACAAAGGTTTGGGGGGGGGTCGCTTGCCTGTGGAGGGCTTCAAGTGCTTCAAACTCCGAAGGTTTTGTTGCTCTGCAGGGCCACGTAGCAACCCCTGGGTTTAGTCCTGGTGTAGATAAAGAGACTATAGGGATATCTAAGATATCTAGCCATGTTCGGATGCGGCGAGCTTCTGTGATGGCATCAATAAGAGATTCGGGCGAATCTCTCGACGATGAAGAGGCCTGGCTACAGGAGTTGTTGGCCTATGGACGACAGAAACAGAGACGAAGACCCTTCGATCCACACCAGTCTTATGTTTCTGAGAATACTGTCTACTTTTTTACAGGGTGCGAAATACTAATTAAAGTATTCCTTGTGCTGCTTGGCCTCTGCAGCCTCCATCGAAGGACTGGTTGCGCCGCCAGACCATATAGAGATCCCTGTAGTGCCCATAGCACCATATCCTCGAGCTTGCTTATTGGAGAAGACAGCATCTGGTGTGCGATATGTTTCAGACAACTATTGGAAGCTGAAAGTGCCGAAGCACTTGGCCGAGCTGCCTCGGATGAAAGGGGTCATCCAAGACATTATGGCTCAGCCTGCTTTAAAACTGGACTTATTGCCGTCTCAAACACTTGCTTCCAACATCCTGCAACGAGCTCATACTGTCATACGTGGACTCGGTGACAATTGCAGTTTCAAGATCGGCTTGACTTCCAGCCCTTCGCACCGGTGGTGCAACGAAGATTATGGGTATCAGCACTCTTCAAAGCCTGCATGGGCTGAGATGCGGATTCTGGGTATTTTGGCATCTGCCGAAGCCGCTGGTTTTTTAGAAGCTGCTCTTATTGACCGTTGGCAATTGGACTCTCGTTGCTTGAACTCTGCAAGTGGAGGTGAAGGTTTATCTTGCCAGGAAGGCCCCTGGTGTGTCTACGTCGTGGTGTCGAAAAGGTGATGCCAGAGGGATGGAACCGGCCCGATGCAAGCTGAAAAAGACGTCTTCGAAGTGAAACTTTTAGGCCCTCTATTGATACCCCTACATTAAGGCCCAGAACGAAACGAAGCCCCACAAATTAAGCCCCCATCCAGAACCTTCGAAATCAGCAATAATAATAATGCTAATAATAATACTAATAAGAATAATAATAATAACCAAGCAACACTATGACAACCAAAATAAAACTAGCAAAAAGGTAGTTGTAGTTGATTATATAGAGCAACACCCAAAAGCCCGGCCCATCCATCAGCTTAATTCTATATCGCTATGTTCATCCAATATAAATGATAACGATGTACGAGAAACCATTACTCCTTCGATCCAAGGCTACCTTTCGCCGACTCCTGGTCCAAGTCGACGCCGAGAGACGCAGCTGCTGGAGAGCCCAGCCGCCGAGGAGCCGCCTCGGAACAAGCGAAAAGCCGACGAAGAACCGAAGCCCGAGAACAACAAGAGAAAACCTAGTCTGAAGAAGATGAGCGCTTTTGTGGACGAGAAGGACAAAGACGCCGAGAAAGACTCCGAAAAGCAGTCCAACGAGAAGACCCGCAAGAAGCAGTCCGACAAGAAGGCCCCCGAGAAGCAGTCCGACAAGAAGGCCCCCGAGAAGCAGTCCAACGAGAAGGCCCCCGAGAAGCAGTCCGAGAAGGCCCCCGAGAAGCAGTCCAACGAGAAGGCCCCCGAGAAGCACTCCGACAAGAAGGCCCCCAAGAAGCAGTCCGAGAAGGCCCCCGAGAAGCACTCCGACAAGAAGGCCCCCGAGAAGCACTCCGACAAGAAGGCCCCCGAGAAGCAGTCCAAGAAGGCCCCCGAGAAGCAGTCCAACGAGAAGGCCCCCGAGAAGCAGTCCGACAAGAAGGCCCCCGAGTCCAACGACAAGGCCCCCGAGAACCAATCCAAGCAGAAGGCAGCCCCTGAGCTGAAACAGTTCAGAGCCCAAATAAAAATCATTATGAAGCTCCACAAAGCCCTTGCCAAAACACAACCCAACCTAGCCCAGGACAAGCGACAGCCTGGCGATATCTGGTGGGACTACGAGATGCAACGTGCCTGCCTCGAAAGCCAGACCGGCCCGGTGTTTTCTTCGAAGCCCTTTGTGAAAGAGGATGAGGTTTTCGTTCAATTCCCCGATGGTCTTATGTGGTCGGTTCCGCACCTCGTGCCTGCAGACCTAGAGAGTGGTCTTGGTTTGCCGGCCCCGACTGTTCCCGAACAGAAGCCCAAGGCGACAGCCAGCAAACGCAAACCGAAGGCCGACAAACCTATCGAGGACTATGTGTACTCGATAATCCGCTGCAAGTACTGCACGCAAGGCTCCAAGAACCCCCTGATCAAGGTCGAGGCTCGCGAGGATCGCCACGATGCCACGAGCAGGTGGGTTCAGAAGCTCCAGCTGGTTATCCGGACCGGCCTCAGTGTGAGGAAAGCGATGCACATCGCCATGACCTTCGCCGATTGCTATGTGTACATGAACTTGAATCCGGCGGAGATCAACTACAGAGGCTGTCGAGATGATCTACTGGCTCACGACCACGATTGGGAAGCTTCAGCTTTGGATTGGCAAACTGTCAATTCGCTTGGCCTGAAACACTTCCCGAAGTCGCAACTTGAATCGTCTTAATTTACCATGACTTGGTTGGATGCATAGATAGATCCATTATTCAGACATATGTGTACATATACACACATACACACTTCGAAGCATGCATGCTGCACGCATATGTTAAAGAGCACACACATAGAGACAAGCTCACAGCGACACACACCCACAAAATAGCACGCACAAACACACATACACATATATGCCTTGCAGTCATATCCACTCCCAGGCCGAAAGAGTCGCCTATCAAGATCCCGAAGCCCAAGCAGACCCAGATCGTGGATGACCAGGCCAAGAACGAGCCGCAGGGAGATGATGATGATGATGCCGAGGGAGATGAAGAAGAAGATGGGGAACATGACCCTGCAGTAGAGGAAGGTTTCTAGACTCTCTTTGCATCTGCTGCTTTTGCTATGTACAACAGGAACTAACATCACCCTGAACCCTAAACTTCCGAAACCTTAATCCCCACAAACGCCACCTCTGCTCTGAACCCCATTAGAAGCTAGTACCTCGCTCAGGCTTCGCTGGGCTTGGCACGGCGGCTAGTGCTCTGCTTGGCCAGGAGAATGGGGATGATATGAGGTAGCGAAAAGGACCCAGAACTTTCCCGCAACCCCAAAAACCAAGGATACTTAGTCCCGAAAGACCCGAACACTCAAAGCCTTGACCCTGAGCCCGCATAAACAAGTTGCCCGTCGATCGCTTCGAAAGCATACTGGCCGCCACGAGCAGCTTTCCTGAGGATTGTCGTGTTGGCTGAATCCCACAAACTTGATGATTAGTGTAGCACCTGCATACGACCGGTTTGGATGGGATCGGGGATCTCGCTTATTGTGATCGTAGCTATAGTCCTGTCCCCGCCTACCCCTGTAGGATTGCAACTGCATGTCCCGAAGCCCGCAACATTATGGAAACCGTGACTGCTTTGTTCCAGTGGATTCAGCGAGCTGTCCTCAGGTTTGGTGCAATAGTTTGCCACCGCAGACTACAGTCCTCGGGCCTCCAACTTGGGTAGGATCTTTGGGGAGTATGGTATACATATACATATCTATGTATTAATTGTGCTAAAACATTCGTCTGATAGGGTTTTAGTATCAGCTAGTAGTTTGGGTGGCCTGGCTAGCTTCGAGGCATGATCTGATTTTCCTGAACGGCAGCCGCTAGGAGCTATAGCTGAGGATGGAGCTACTCTGGTTTTCGACCTCTAGCTACACGTGGGATTGTGGCCTTGAAACTTTGTAGTACTAGATGGTCGTTATTTGGACAGTACCAACCTCAACACCTGACCCCAATCTTGAGTCTCCACCGATGCAGCTCGATTCTGCCTGTCCGAATTGCAAAGCAATATCGCTGGATGGCTTCGAGGCTTCTGGGATACATGACTGTACGCAGACTGGTCTGATCTGTCATCCATCGAATATATATATATGTATCCAGCAGGTATTCTGCTATGTGCTAAGCTGCTGCACTGTCGTCTTCTCGCTATAGGACTGATACATATGTATTAATATACCGACAGTCAACAATGGTGAGAGTGCTAGCTACTATAGCTGCTGGTGTGTTATCGTACACTGTATATATAGTATATGTTTTACATGGCGAGACGTGGACGTCTGTAGATATACATATATATATATATATTTATCTACTAATAAGCTAATGTAACATATACACCAGTCCATCTCATTTAGATCTACCTACACAGCTTTCTCTTCCTTCTCATCCCTCTCTCTCTCTCTCTCTCTCTCTCTCTCTCTCTCTCTCTCTCTCTCTCTCTCTCTCTCTCTCTCTCTCTTTCAGTGTATATATAAACAAATATATATATATATATACATATATATATATGTAAGGCGAAGACCCAGAGGCCCAGAAGAACCTCATCCTCGCAAAACCCTCCCGCTTGAATGCCGTGCTCGCTTTATATTCCACCAGGCTCCAGAAAAGCTGGAGCCGCCAAGCCATCCGCAGATGATGTGCGAGCCACGTCGTAGTATGGATCCCTCGAATCGCTGTAAGCCTAGTCCCGATTCTGTAGAATAAAATATAGATAGATATATATGTATATATATATATAGAAGAAGCGAGAAAATTATAGATCATATATACATAATTAAAACCCGACCCGGATAATGTATGTGTGTACCCTCTACCCTTATTTCTGGATCCAGAATTGGACCCCCCCCGAATAATGTATAGCTCCCTATCCATTAATTATTATAATCCTGCTTAGTATAACTTTAAGCCCTAATCCCTACATTTCCAAAAATCCTCCCACACCTTATATATATAATAGAATATAGCCTCGATCGGGGATCTGGAAACTATAAGGGCTTGTATGTATGTATATATATATATATATATGTTGATTGGTTACGATCGAACTAGATCCCGCAATCGAGCCCGCCTGCTGTTGTTTGGATCCAGAATTAGAGCCTCTCGTCTCTCATCCTTGCATTCTATTATCTGGATACCGCCTTTTTTATTGCCTTGGTACGGATATATATATAGGTTTAAACTCAGAATCTACACCCTTCCCTATATAGATATCAGATTGGCTATGGCTATATAGGTATCCAGAATTAGATCCGTTCGCTCGTGGGCTATAATGGATCCATAATTAGATCCGTTAGCTACCTTCCTCGCAATCTATTAACTGGATACCACCTTTCATCTGAGCCCGACCGGCCCATCTAACCACAAACCATAACCCTAAGCCCTTCAGCCCTAAACCCTAAACTCTTTCGGTATGAGTATTTTACTAATAACCAATATATCGGTGGATCCAGATTTAGATACCCATGTAGGGGCTCTACTTTAAGGTTTGTGGGCTTCCATAGCCGACGCGAGGTGATTTTGACTTCATGATCTATGTGTTCGCAACAGCGGAAAACCGCAGAGTCTGCATGCTCGTCGAGTAGCAACGTACCAAGCCACTCATTGCTGCTGATTATGTCAATAGGCAAGCTAGAGAGCTCCGGCAAGAGCAAAGCTGCACAATGAGGTGTCGAACTAGATCCCCGATGAGCCCCCCAATGAGCCCCTCTAGGGTATGGTAGATGCTGTCGTGTCCTCTAAGTAGGCAATGAACAGAATGAGGTATCAAACTGGATCCCCGATGAGCCCCCCAATGAGGTGTGATGAGGTGTCACGAGCCCAAAAAGTCCTGTATCGAACATATATTAGCTCATATATACTTACTATATGAGATCAATCAGACCCTCTTGGAGGCTCCACCTTGTCTTGTATGTATGTATTGTATGATATGCTTTGCTGATGCATGCTGCTATGCCCTAGCTCGCAAGCTACGTAGTGCAGAGATCCAAAGGCTTCGCGGCAGCAGCTATAGATAGCTTCTAGCTATCATGGCTGAGTCACAGCCCGCCCGCATCGACACCATGGACACCCGCGAAACCCTAATCCCAGAGACCCTCGTCGTCACCGATCTCCCAGAAGCTCCCGCAGACACGGCATCGGCACCAGACGCCGCCGGCTGTGACAACAATAATGAGCCAAGTGACGCCACCAACGGCGAGGAGCAGAAGCCAGCAGACGCCACCAGCAGCGGCGAGCAGAAGGCAGCAGACGCCGCCAGCGAGGATAAGAAGCCACCTGCAATGACCCCGGAATCCATTCGTATCGCGATCGAGAACTATGCCAACAGCATCAACAAGGACCCCAAGGAGGTGACGTTTTCCATGCTTGAGGCTACAAAGGAAGGCCCCAGCTACTGGGCCACGGTCAACACAGACATGTCGGCCCGTGGTGCCACGGCACAATCTATGGGCCGTGCCATCCGCTTCAAACCGGACGTGAAAAACCTTTATGGCCTACTCCTAGATTCCTTCAAGCTCGAGTTTAGGAGGGCCTGGGCATGCTCCCGGGACTTTGAATTCGTCACGACTACCCGCAGCACCGTCAATACATTTCGCAAAAGAAAGGACGAGCTCGGCACCTACAAGACCTTCCTTCAGATTTGTCAGGTCCTAGGTGGGGTCGATGAACCCATCGCCATGCAACAGGCGAAGAACTACACTCAGATGTGCTGCCGTGACGACCTCAAGGCCGAACCCAAATAATCAAGCCTAGCCTCGCACAAAGAACTCAAGAGCCCCTCCCCACCCGGAAGCCTAGACTCTTAGACCTTATATATCTATATAGGAGCCGATTAGCATTGACTAGTGACAAGACCCGGAGCCTAACAATAAGCCCTAAGCCCGACATTAAGGAGCTTCAGTTCCCACCCACTACACCCCCAAGGACCCTAGAATGTACAAACACACTTTACCCTTCAACTTTGAGAATGTGTTCTAAGAAACCCCAAAACCTACAACTGCCAATCAGGAACACTGTGTGGTCTACAACGCCTGGCTGAAAGCTGACACATACCTGTGGGTGGAGCAGCTCCTGACCACATCGAACATCCAGGAATGGAAGAGTACTGTGACTGTCGAGGTCAAGGAGCCGGTTAAAGGCTCATGGTCTGAAAAGGTGCAGCTCTCGAAAGCTATGCGATGCTACGCGGCGGAGAACGGCAAGAGGTTGGTTGATGTGACCGAGACCGAAGTGAGGACCTCGGAGTTGGGTTTGCAAGGCTATGCTGCTTTGTTCGAAAAGACTCCAGGAGCCCAGCCCAAGCCCGGCGGGGATGGCAGCAATGCTGGTGGGTGCAAGGGCGGCAAGAAGAGGGGTTTGGAACAGGAGCCGAAGCCGATCGACACTGACCTCCCGACGCCGCCTCCTACTACCGAGAATCCTGCGAATCCGAACAAGCGGGCAAAGGCGGGCGGGAGCGGTTCCGTCACGACCAAGAAGGAGAAGGAGGTCAAAGAGCTTCTTGCCCAGGAGCAAGCGAGCGACAATGCTATGAGCATGATCACGATCGAGATGGGCAAGAGCGATCCCGCCGCATGGCAGTGGGCGGCTGGGTTCGTGAAGAGCTACAAGGAATGCCGGGTCGGGGTGCTCGAGCTCTACGCCGAGAACCCCTTCTTTCAGTCCATGAAGGTGGCTGTTCTCTCCGCGAAGGAGCTGCAGAAGGTGAAGAAGGAGTACAAGGATCAGTATTTGCCGAAGCTTTGCGACTTCGTGAGCATGTTGGGGCCGAAAATCTCTGCTATGGCAGAGGCTAGTGTACAGATACAACAGATGGCTAGTGCCAAGAAGAATGCTTCCGAGAGTGTTAAAGCTAGCCCTGCCCCCAAGGCAAAAGGCAAAGCCAAAAAAGCCCTGGCCCGATCGGCCTCCACGAGAAGCATCGGCTCAGTGTGATCGCTGTGCCATGCCTTGGATTTTCGAAGCTTGCCGGGTAGTGCCACAAGCAGCTGCATAGAGGATTCGTATGGACGAGTTTTATTTAAGAATATGGGCATGGGGCTTAGGGTTGAGATATGCTTTAAGGTTTTAGGTGCTTAGGCTCGGATCGTTTCACCCCTAGGACTACTAGTAAGGTGTAGATCGTCATGAGTATAGCTAAATCAACAGTCCGGAACCCCGAAACCCCCCAGAAGCTCCTAGTGGGTATCCTGGTTTACGGTTGACATCTTACTGCTCGGGTTATTATAGTCCTAATCCAAACCCTTCCCTGGTTTATCCTGAGGATCCTGGCTGCTGCTTGTGTGGGTTCGTTCTCACACAATGAAAAAGTTGTGCTGGGAGCGGTGCTGGGGAACAAAGTTCCGGGGCAACGCCGTTGAAAAGTTAGTTTCGATCTGTGAGTGACCATGATGCACACAGCCGGTGCAAGCCGCACAGTAATTGCATCGAGGTTTGGCTCATGTAGGAACCGAATACATGTACGTATGGTGAGGATGATAACTACTTTGTGTAGAGTTTACGATTTAGAGTGTTTAAGTTTGAGGTCAAGGGTTTTAGGTGTGGTGTTTCGGGAGCTCACACTCAAGGTGTACGTATGGTTGAGGCTGGAAGGTTTAGGTTTAAGGCTTATTATAGAGCGGGCTGTGCATATATATTTGTATCGTAGCACGGTGGGGTGTCCATGGTCGATGAGCTTCAAACGTGCTCGTGCAGCAGACCAAACCCAAGGTTCCTGTTACTTTGATCTCCATGAGTATGAAGACACGTTGCCTAGTGAAGGCGGGGACATCGAGGCTGCTAAGAAGTTTCGACGTCTGCTGGTCGAGAGGTTTTTGGATGGTTCTGCTACGGCAACCGACACTTGTCAGCTTGCTTGCTGGCACGTGGCATCAGGGGGTGAGGGTGCTGAGGATCTGGCTTTGAACCCTCGGTCCGCTAGTCGTCATGCAGCTGAACATCTGAGGTCAGGGACTGTGTGCAAAACTCTGCAAAACCTGGAGAATGATATCCCTGAATCCTCTATCCGAATCTAACACTCCATTGATTAAGTCCCTGGTCCTTTCTCGTAATTTGCCCCAGGTGCCATCTGAATAAAGAATTCCCGGAGCCTGATGTGGAAATGGTTTCAGTTCCGATGCATCTGAAGAAGTCTGCTGGAAGGACCCTCGTACAGCACCCCACCCGTGTGACTTCGATCATGATACGCAATGAGCTGATGGAGCTTGGTATTCTTGAAGGCACAGCATCTCCTGAGATTGTGCAAGACTTCTTGAAACACGACGAGGAGCTAGGGGATCTATACGAACGCCATTGTGTCACGATCGAAGCTCTCCGCCAAGGTTTCTCGCGAGAACACATCGTTCCTCTATCGGTATATTTCGACGGGGTCCAGTATTCCAAGAACGAGAACTTTTTGGGGTTTTATGTCACCAACTTACGCACAAAAAAGCAAAGGCTTGTTTGGTTGCTACGTACCCCGACAGCACATAGTAGATTTTATGTTATATTTGTCGCCTGTACATGTGCTTATGCATGTACGTGTATGTATATGCATATGTATAAGTACATGAGTATGTATATGTATGTTTGTACATAGCCCTGCTACTGAAACTTAAGGTCTGGAGTGTGAAAGGCTATATGGGTATACGGATATTGCTGTGTGTGTGTGTGTGTGTGGGTTTTTATTGTCTATATATATATATAGATATATATATGTATGTTTATATATATATATATATGTATGTTTATTTATATGTATGAATATAAACACCACCGTTGGTTGTCCTACGTGTTCTGTATATAATGTAGGTTGTGTCCTGGCTGAAGCCAGTACATATCGCAGATGTGTTCACGACAAACACAGGATTATCGGAACTTTGTGGATGTGGCTGCAGAGGCTGGTGTTCCGTGTTTCCATTATTGGAAGCTTTCAGGCGAGATTTGAGTGAACAACATCCGGATTTGAGATTGCCGATCATTGACTTCAAAGCTGATTGGGCTGCTTTGGTCGAGATAGCTGCTTTGAGAACGTGGTCCCATAATCATCATGCCTGTCCTTGTTGTCTGGTCAAGAAAGCACAGCTTCCAAACATTGATGGTTTCAGTGCGAGATCGTGCCCATTCCCGTTGTATGACAAAAGCAAGTACGAAGCTACTTTGTCGAAGAACTTCAAGGACCTTTGTTCTAAAACACTAGATAGCTTACAGGCTTCATGATGTTTTAAGTATTTTTCGCCACTCAAAATTCGTTTGTGTCCGGTCGCTGGATTCCGCATATAGCACCTTATATGTTCACGTACGTCCTAATATTAATATGTCTATGTAGTCGTCAACAACATAGGAGGTCACGATTCCGGATGTGGATGTTCAACAGCAGATCTCGAAGCTTTTGCACTATCGAAAAAAAGGCCGTGGCCGTGGACGCTGCTTGCTGAAAGCATTCCAACAGCTAGGGCTTCCGAAATGGGCTAGATTGGAGCCTTCTACACTGTTGCCAGATGTGGGGTCCTTCGAGCAGCAGCAGTGTCCATTCAGTTGCATCTTTTATGTGGCTGGTGAACACGGCCGTGTGTTGCACGTGTCTCCGCTTTTGCAAATCCCTGGAGTCAGCTTGAGTTCTTGGTGCATCGACTTGCTACATACGTGGCATTATGGACCCATGTCTACTTATCTGACATTTGCTCTTCGTGCTTTGCTGAGCACAGATATCTACAAGCCTGGCAATTCAGCGGTTCTAGACAAAGAAGAAAATGACAAGCTTTCTTTGATGGCCCTCAAAGCGGAATTGTGGATGTTCTACAAGCACAGACGTGCCACAGACAAGGAGTGGAGCAAGAAAGGTTCTGAGGTGGGGAGGAAAAGGATGATATAAGAATAATGATATAGTCGTGAATCTAAGCTTTGATGAGTAATTTATGTGGTGCCCGAAGACTTGAAGGCTTATATCGATCATTAAAGTTTAAACTACAACAAACTTAAGTGACTCTGTTAGAGGTAAACATCGCCAGATAACGAAATAGCCAGCATAGGCTGCTATTTAGTGTTGGGGTTTTTGGGATAGCTGGATTAGAGATCGAGGGATGTTTGTCCGGAGCCCAAATAGTTTGCTAGTGAATAATTAGTGTAAAAGAACATCGAAGACCAGAGCCCGCTAATGCTAACCCGGATTCCCGAAACCGAATATACTTCGTAGGTGTGGAACCTCACTCTCACGATGCTTGCAGAGAAAGCCCTGAAGTGCAAAGCAGCGGAGACACACGGTCTACTTCGCTTTGTGGTCATGACACTTGAGAAATACAAGACGGTGCTTGAGGGCAATGAAAATTCGCACATGTTTGATCTACTTCGTCGGGCAGGGTGTGCAGCCGAAGCATTCGATCAGATTATGAACGAGCACAGCAGAGTGTTTCCGCAGGACGCATGCGACGCTTTGCATACACGATATCATCGTTTCATACAGCTGTGCTCAAGGGCTGGTGTGCCTTTCCTACCAAAGGGCCACCTCATGTACCACCTTGCTTCTCAGGCCAGGGTTAAAGGGAATCCCAGGATGTATTCTACTTATGTGGATGAGTCCTATAACGGGGCCATAGCTAAAGTCTGTCGTTCAGTTCATCGTCGACATTGGGCAATGGCCGTCTACCGCAAGTTGCAAATGCTGGAAGCTTTGGCTACTTCATCTGCTGACGACTGAAATGGTCGAGTCGCTTATTGCTGCCACTTGGCATATATAGCAGCTTCGCCCAATCCTCAAATTCCATTTTCGATGGTAGCTGATTCGATCGGTCACACTTTCTTCGGATGCTTGAGAAAGTAGCTTTGGTTTTTGACACCCAGTTCAACTCAGGGCTTAGGGACGAAACTGGGCTATGGCGGTTTATCGGAAGCTGGAGATGCTCGGGAGTATGCTTTCTGAAGAGTTCTGAACTGCTGTCATGTCGCTTACTCTGCAGCTTCGCCGCATTATTCCCAGCGCTCTGCAATCCTCGAAATGCAACAGACCCGATGGTCTTCCTGTTAAATCGGCATCCACTTAGATTTGACGCAGTTTTTGTTCAAACCAGTTCCTATGATGCTGACATATAACATGGACGATAACCGGCCCGAGGCATGGATGGGTGCGATCGAACCCTTGTGGCCGAGCTTCTCGGTTATGCTTTCGGTCCTAGGTTTAGGGGCTTGGAAGAAGGGAAGGATTGCCACATGCTTTGCTTTTTTGAAGAGCTTAGGGTTTAGGGTCGGGGGTGCAGGGTTTAAGGTCTAGGGTTTAAGGTTTAGGGGTTGGGGCTCAAGGGCTTGATAAAGATTCTGGGAACAGGTTTCGGGTTTTGGGTTTCAAGGCTAGGGGTTCGGCTTTAGGGCTTCAGGTTTAGGTGACCAGCCCTGAATATCCCAAGAAATCTGAACGATCTGAAGCTCCAAAACCTCGAACCCTACCTTTGATCTTAGTTCTACACCAACAAAGGACCGTGGCTTTGGTCGGATGGGCCGAAGAAACGAATCACGAGTCTTGGTGGTTTCCTAAGATCTTTTTGAGATTTGATGGACACTGCTGGGTCGGCTTAGCTCGTCTAGGCTTGTCGCTTTGATTCCCGCAAACCACAAACAAGGAGATGCTGGATTCCCGATGGTTCAGATGCGGCTTCACTTAGTGTACAGTGCATCTCCCGCAGAGCAGAGCTTATTCGACCTTTCGTAATGTCTAAACCGTTTGTGGGTGTACTCTTCTCAAAAGTAACCGATATCACTGAAATAAAGCTGAAAGAGCCGAGCCCTGCCAAGAGTCGACCGCAGATCGTCGTGGATCACCGATGACCGGAAAGAGCCGGGAGGGTTGGAAGGTTTAGTTAAGGGTTTCGGTTTACGGGGATTAGGGTTTAAGGTTTATGGGTTTTGGCGATATTTAGAGTTTACAAGGGTTTAGGAGTTATGGTTATTAAGGATTCAGGCTGTTCGGGGTGTTGAGGCTCAATGGTTAACAGGGAAGAGCTTAGGGTCGGAGGTTTAGGGTTTAAGGGTGTTTAAGGGTGTAGGTTTCAGGTTTCGGGTATTCTGGCCTTGAAAAATCCCAAAGTCCCAAACCTTCTGTCTTCACATCGAATATCCTCAAGCCCAAAGCTCCTGCAGTTATAAATCCAACACTCGTCTAGCTGACCCAAGCTTTTTTCCCCCAAAGGCCCAGCTCCCAACGAAACATCAACAAGTCATAATCTGATTGGGGTCTGAGGCATCCAATTCAATCCACGCTTTATGCTCGGGAATCAACACGTTTTGCAGGCTTCCATCAACCCCCAAACCCGATTGATACAGAGAAGCACCGAAAGCCTTTCAAAGCCGACCACCCGAACCCCAACCACCCGAGACGAACCACCCCCATGAGCTCGATCTCACATACAGACATACAGACGAGGGGAGAGTAAGGAGAGACTAAACATTTTGGCTCAAATTCGGCTCAAACATCATGAGCATTAGAATTTCAGCGATATTCAATTATCGCCGTGCCAAAGTCACCGAACTATGTGAAAATAACGGTAATGAACCCTGCAAGTCGTACCAACTGCTTGCCGTCGCCAGCTTTTGGACTACAAACCAGAAGAATGTGCTGTGTGGTACATTTTCGGGTTAAATTTCAGGACGTTTGCTTTTCTTGCTCAAGTTGTAGGTTTCGCTGTTTCACCAAAAAATGGTAGCGGATCCACTTTTAGTGGAGTGGTTCTACTTCGGACCATCAACATGCGGATCTACTTTTTGGATCCGGCCGGGGGTCTGGGAAGGGGCATGTGATCCCGCCGACCGTTGAGAATGTCCAGCTCAGGTAGCTGTCGAGTGCGACGGCAGGACCAGGGGCCAGCCTGGAGCAGGACATGATCCAGACGCTTGCGGGTGCCGCCAGTATGCTCCCAGGACCATCCCGGGCCGTCTTGGAGGCCCAGGGGCGAGGAGACCGTATGGTGCAACCGGGGCCACTGTGAGCTGGGAAATTGGAAGCACCGCCCTGACAGGGAAGAAGCGATGTGCCCAGAGCCCGCAGTGGCGAGTGCCTTCCTGTTCGATAAACCGCCATGACCTAGTCGGGTCGAGGAAGCTGGTCTCGCTCCATCCTCGCACATAGAATACGAGCCGTGAGGGGTCGGGGACCAGGGAAGCATCGGGCTAAGGGGCCATCTGGGTTATCAGGCTGCCAACCACCTTGCGGCACATAAGGCTCGCCTTCATTGAAATCTACGGCAGGGGGAAAGAACCGCCCAGGCCAGGGATGGGAAGGCGATCGACTTCTGCTAGGCCGTTGGGGAGTACGGATAGTGCGCGCCTCAAAGGAGTCCGCGCTGGGGCAGCGGCCAGAGGCACTCGAGGACCCCCCACACCGGTTCAAGAAGCCCAAGAAACAACAGGGCAAGTTGGGCAGGGAGGAAATGTCGCCCTCCAAGGAGCCCAAAGGCAGCAGAGATAACCCACCAGTCTCCGTCCCTGGTCTGAGCGACCTGAGAAGCCCGGCTGGCAGCGGGTCGAAGAGAATATCCGGTAATATAGAGGTCATGCGCAGCGTCTCGGGCCGTCTCGACACATCGACTGAGTAGTGTTTGCGTGCCCCGGAGAAGAAGACTGCTCAACGAGCCAGGGGGGGGCACCGAGGTGTCCATGGCAGGGGGCCCAGCGGTGGTGACCGAGTTCCGCCTCATGGTGCAAAACAGTTGCAGCAGCTGCGTCCCATTTGGCTTGGTGGCCCAGCAAAGCAACCCTAGCAGGGCGGCTAGGAGACCAAAGTAACAGACAGGAGGCGTGGGCCACCACAAAGTCAGAGTGCCAGGCCGAGGCGGCGCGAGCCGCGCCCCATGTCAGGTACACCGGGGACTCGCGAGGCCCTGCGAGTGGGTCGAGCTGCAAAGGGCAGACAGCCAGAACATCTCCAGAACGGAGAGCGAGAACCGGCCTGGCAGAATGAACGGTGGCCCCTAGACCAGGCTGAAGTTTAAGGCTCACACGACGGCCAAGCCTCATCTGGAGGGCCTGCGTAAGGTCTCTATAGAGGGGTAAGGAAGGACGGCAGGATAACACAGAGCATCTGTCCTAAACCCAAGACAATAAGGCAGGCCAGCCTACCTCCTGGGAGAGGGACTACGACCTGAGACCCTTCTAGAACCAGGCCAGTGGCGGCAAAGCCACGATGCCACGACGTCAAAGTGTGGTGAGCATCCGCAATAACATCGTCAAAGAGGTGTCGCGGGTCAGCCTCCACACGGTGCCATGGCGCGAAAGGGTTGGCAACTGTGACAGAGACCCTGGGTGGAGCAGCTTGCGGAATAGCAGAAGATGAGGCCGGGCTCGACGCCGAAGCTTCGTGAACCATAGCTTGCGAGCCAGGGAGGCACCAGGTCATCAAAAGGAGACGAGGGAGCAGGCAGGAATGGGCCCCAAGGGAACCCAGCGGTATCGAAAGAAGGGTTCCCGTTCGACATGAAGGAAAGGCCGAGACAAGGCCCAAGGCAAGACCCCAAAGAAGCGGGCGGCCGCCGCAGGCCCCGCGAGCGAAGTCGCCAAACACAACATCCCCATTCCGCAGCTCGCATGCCTGATTGAGAGCGTAGGAGGGGACTCCCCCCACCTGCAGGGATTCCGGAAGGAAGTGCAGCTGATCGGCAAGGCTGCCACGCGAGGCAATCCTATCGACGGTCCGGCAAAGGCGGCCCTCAGGGGAGGCTGCTACCACGTTAACCTGAGCCGCGACACCGTGGACCTCGATCAGTTGCAGAGCCCGGGCACCTGACCACTGAACGGGTGACCACATGCCTGGAAAGTGGTTACGAAAGGCACTGGAGAAAGTAAAGGATTCTGGGCACCAAGCTTCTCCAGCGGAAACAGAGGCCAGCAGGGGTGGGCGATTAGGGCGAAGCAAGTGCACAGAAATGCCGAACATGAGTTGAAAGCCCACAGCCCAAGGGGCGTGGTGAGCTGCAAGACCATCCTGGAGGTGCCATGGTTCGACGAACTCAAGCGGCTCAGAAGGGTCCTCCGGTGGGTCATGGATGTACACAACATCTCCGTTGCGAAAACGGAACGCCGCGGGCGGTACATCAAAGAACTCGCAGACCGCGAGCCCGTGCGGCAGTGAAATGCCGCCAACGGGGCTGCTGATGTGACGGGAGATAAAGTCAGTCAACCACGCAACTGTCATGGTCCGCGGTGTGAGCGTGGCCCGATGGTGACCACGCCACATCAGCATTATGGTCACTAGAGCCGCATCTTGTCCCACTGGGACCATGGACAACTCGTTAAAGGCAGGGCCAGGCCACACTGGAAAGAAATCAGACGCCCAGCCCGGGTCATCATTGAGGAACTGAGCCCACACTCGACCATGGCGAGTGTCATGGGAGGCAGTGTATGGGGGAAAAACCCCCAAGAAAGGGCTGTGCAGAACAACGTAGACCGGGTCTTCTGCCGTAATACCGGAGAAGTCCCGATTCGCCGGGTCAGTGCCCCACGGAAAGCCGCCTGGTCGGTGCATACCTTGGGCAAGAGCAACTCCGGCAAGTAACCCCAAAGGGAGGTGCATTGGCGAGGTAAACCGACTAAAAATAAGTGAGAGGCAGCCCCATGACAGAGAAGGGCGACCCTGGGAGGAAGAGGTGATGTCGGGGCTGCCGGCGGCAGGTTCGGCTGCGCTAGTCGGTGCAGCAAGGGCGGCCTCTTGTGTGGGCGGTGGAGGAGACCGTAACGGGGGACGAGGTCCCGCAGCCAGACAGTCTCCATTACGGAACTGGACGACCGAGGACCCTTCCTGGACCTCAGGGGGGCGAAGGTCGTACTCGCTCCCGTCGAGCTGCAGAGAACGTAAAGCCGCTGTATCTACACAGACGGGAAGGCAGCAGGGCACAAGGCGGCCCTCAAGCACAATGCCCACAGCTGCGTTCCCAGGCGCCTGTGGACAGCCTATGAGGTGTACAGCGGCAGCATCAGGCTGCAGCTGCAGGAGCACAATATCAGCCCATCCCCGACTGCGGGCGTGTCCTCTGAAGAGAACAAAAGGGCTGATCTCAGGGCCAGCAGCATACTCGACAAGCTCGCACTGCTGTCGGGCAGTGAAGGGATTATGAATGCAGAAGGGGGTGCCGAGTGGGATAGCGGCAGCAAAGGGCCTCAAGCCTCGCTGAAGACCAAGGAGGTCGGCCTGAACGCGGCGGACAGTATCCTCATCCACGGCAGGCTCCCTTTCAATTGAAGACGGCCAAAGGCCGAGGGCGTAGTCCTCCAGCGGTCGAGCAGCGCGGAGGTACCACATACGAGGCTGGAAAGGAGCATTTACAGGCTCCGGTGGCGGTGGGCCAGCAGGTCGAGAGGAGGGAATCGGGTTGGTCTCCGTAGCAGACATGTTGAAAGCTTGGACAGGTGGCGGGCCTTCATCCTCGGTCTGTTCGTCATCCGAGCTAGCCGGCGGCGGACTGATGATGGAGCCCGCACCGAGGGTTGCCAGGACAAGGAGGCGCCCAAAAGCCAAGGCTCCGGAGTAACCCCGAGCCCAGACAAGGGCCAAAACAACCACCGAAAGCCTATCCTGTCGCCGACAGCTCGAAACGCTCGCGATATCAAGCAGATCGACAGTTGAGGGATTCACCGCCGCGCATGCACTTTGCGAGGCTAGTCGCAAAACAGGTTGCGATTCCCCGGCCGGTTCGGCATCTGGCTCAGCAAGACCGGCCCAGAGGCGCGAAGTGTGGAAAGAAAGCTCCTGAGACAGCATGTGGACTCTGGAAACCGTAGCATGATCAAGACCAGTACCATTGCCCGAGAGGTCTGTTTGGACTTCCTGATCTACCAGGGGGGCATGCGATGCGCCAGCAGCAAGTCGGTTACCATGCCCATCGAGGAGTATGGCCGGTTCCAGCGCCGGGCCTCTGCTAGGGACGTGCCGGAAATATGGGCCCTCGACCACCAGCGGGTCCGGGTTCCAAGGGTCGTCATCGCCAGGAATCCTCGCGAGAGCGCCAATCAAAATCTGAATGACAGCTCCGGATGGAAAATCAGGCAAGGGGCAACCCCTGGCGGGTAAAGCTGACCGGCGTAGGAGAGAGCGGGGCTCCGCTCCGGTAGATGGCCCCCCGGAAAGAGAGCTCTAAGGTGGGCAGAGACAACATCCCAGCTGAACGGCGAGTGCCCAAAAGTAACAGCAGCAGCGTCCCCCCAGTGGAGCAACCAGAACCGGACTGTGGGACGAGTGGCAGGTACGACCGGCACAAACAGGACATGCTGAACGGAACTGTCCGTAGTGGAATGTGTGGGCCGGAACTCGCCTGGGTCATCAATATGGTGCAAGCGGCACATCACCTCCCTCAACCACCGGGTCGGATAACCCTGGGGTCGCCACGGCAAATCAACAGGCGCATTGATATTTAGAGTCCAGATGCGAATAGTCGTCGGAGGAGGCGGCGGAGCCTCGGCGACTGGGGCAAGAGCAAAGTGATGTGGTGGCTGCATGGAGGCCACGTGTCGGCAAAGCATGAGTAAAGCAAGGCTGCTAAGAAGCGAGAGAGGCCGGGACCGGGCTGCGACAATCTGAAGGACCCCATCAACCAGTCTACCCTCCAAGCCCGGAAGAACTCTAGTAATAAGCGCCCGGGCTCCTTGCGGGCAGGGAGACATATGACGGACTTCGGCAGAGGGCTCAACACTGTGTACTACTCCGTCCGGCTCCACTGCGCAGAAGAAGAAGGTGCAGTGGGAGGTGTAGTGCTGGACCACCGGCCGGAGTAGCTCACAACCGATTGAATCCCGAAGTATCCACCAGACATGTGGTGAGGGCGGGGAAACCAGGAGATCGAGCACTTGAGTTGAGGGCTGGAGTCAAAGGCCACGTGTAATCCGTACTCGCAGTCAGGCAAGAAGGCTCCTATAGGTATGCACTGAGATGCCGGTCGAGGTGACGAGCGCCCACCCTCAGGTGTACGGGGCCTTGCCCGGGAAGCCAAAGGTGCATCTGCACTTCCGATTGAGGTGAGGCGCCAGCGACATACGCTCCGAGTTGGGGTGCAGAGAGGGCAAACCCATGCGTCTGTCGAGCAAGCTCGTGTGTCCAAGACATGGTGCAGGGCCGCGAGAAATCTCGTCGGGTTCTCAGTGTCTCCGACGCCGCAACCCGAGAAATTAAGGAAGCGGGCTCAACAGTCACTCGGACTGACACAACAGGTAGGAGGAGGCTGAGAGCGCACATGAGCAGATGACGCTGCAAACAGGGCAGACCGAATGCAAAAGAAAGAGGCAAAAGGGCTCGGGGGCGGTGGAGGGCTAGGTGTCTCAGCCTCACAATTGCGCACCAGTTGCGAGACCCCTTCGGGAGAGTCGTACCCGACACTGACACACTTCATTGCAACTCCTGCGAGGTCTCGTGGGAACGGCCAAACACGGTTATCACTGGACAGGAACGTCTGTGGTAGCTCCCAGAGGGACAGGGACAAGGCCTGCGCAACAGCTTCCCAGGTAGGGGCAGGGGTGCACATGCCAACGAGTCGGCTCCCTTCTCGGAGAGCCCAGACAGTGAATCCAGGCAGACAGGCCACCAGACACTTGACGTGCCATGCATCGCACCAAAGGTCGACGAGTTCAGACGCAGTATCGGGTGTAACACCAGCACCGCAAAGAGACGGAGGTGCCTGGAGTACAGCAGCTGGCGTGCTGGCAGAGATGAAGGGGGCATTAGTTTGGGTACCTATACTATGGAAAACCCGAGTCCTAGGGGGGGGAAGGGGCGGAGGAGTGCGAACAAGTCTCGGCTCCCAGCTGACACGCACAAGATGCTCCCGAGCACGTGCAAAGTCAGCCTGCACATGAACATGCCAGTACCGGCAGTCGGCCCGACCCGGAATAGAAGTGCATTCCCATGTCAGAACAGAAAGGCCGAAGGGCTGCAAGCTCCGAAGCAGAGCCGCGGAGGGACGGTTGCTGCGGAGAAGACTTTCCAGGAATGCCGGGAAAGATTCAAAGACTCCAGAAAAGGCCAGGTGAAGACCCACAGCGGAGGGGTCGGACGCATCAGTCAACCGATAGGTGACACAATCCTGGCCGGGAAAGGCAGCAACGAAGGCGGCATGAGGGAGAATGTCAGCTCCGGGCATCTCAACGAAAACATGCTGGCCTGGGGTAACGCTACGCAGCAACGCTCCTAGCACAGAAGCGTCAAGGTCGCATAAGATAACACACCTGCGACAGGATGAAGCAGCGACACGATCCGACCTTCCTGCAGCCAGCGCGAAGCAGTGCCAGTTTGGTGTGGAAGAACAAAGGCTGAAACATCAAGGGTGCGCGCCTCTGTGCTAACAAGCACCCTTACCACGTCGCCTTGGCGAAGCCGATCGGCAGTACCCCGAAGAATCTGGACATCGGCAGAAGCAGCCGCGGACTGCGCAGCCGCAATAACATGATCAGCGCTGTAATCCTTTGGCAGTTCCACACAGACAACCTCCCGACCCAAGTCGAGAAGAACAGTTAAGGTCTCAGGGCGTGACGGAAGGGAGACAAGGTTAACCGCCTCTAAGGTAGGGCCAGAAGATGCAGCAACAATCTGGGGGCGACCGAGTCGGATGGCCTGACGGTACAGCTCGGCTGCAGCGTCACGAGCACTAACAGTGTTGGAAAACTCGAGGCGAACCGAAGAGCCGGGCCACCAGAGGCGGCAGGTGATGAGAAGCACCTCACTGGCGGAGGGAAGAGCTGACCAAAGCGGTCCGTCACCAAAGTCGCCAACCTGAAGCCACCTGGCCTGTAAATGCGTGTGAGCACCGGCTGGGGCTGCCACTTGACGGTCAGGAGCCCTACTAGCAGAAACCACAACGTCCCTAGGAGTGGCAGGTGCACTATGCATCTGGACAGCGCCACCAGGCATCCCGCAGAAGAGAACAAGGCACGCACTCCAGGCAAGGAAGCCCCCGATGTCACGATGCAGCCCACACAGCGCACCAGCCGCCAGGAGAACACCCCGCATGCCACTGAGTTTGCTAGCAGCCGATGAGGAAGCAGAGTCAGGCTCGGCAGCCGGCTCCGTGGCACTGGGAGGTGAAGTGTTGAGAAACTCAGACGGGGTGACTCCAGTGCATGCTGGCAGAGCAGTAGACGTAGAGGCCCTAGCGGGGGAAGGCAACAGGGTGTGCTGCAACGCCGAGATAGTGTCCGAAGTACCCGGGGTGTCCCATCCGCCGACCTGGTCCTCCGAGGAGGAGGAGGAATCTTGACGGAAGACATGTGGGAAGAACATGATAACAATCGGGACACTGCTGGTGAGGACCTGGGCCGGTAACACCGCAATCTCTCTGTGGAGGATGCCGAACCCTCCTCTGGCGCACTGTTCGACCCACTCGAGGGGAAGACTGCTTCGGTCCCGGCGGGAAGCAGCCGTGACAGCCGCAAGAGCAGTAATAGGGGGAGGGATGCAAACAGTAGTCAGCCTCCAGCCAACGGGCCGGAAGTCAAGGATGCAGGGCACCTCATCACCAGCACAGTGTACCTCCATGAACTGCACAAGAGGCAATGAAGGAAGCGGATGCCAAATGCGGAGAACCCCCCAGAGGCACTGGAGGACGCCCTGGTTGACACAATGCGTCGAAAAGTGGCTGCGTCGGCAAACACGGGGGCCTCGACGTAGACCAGTCCATTAGGGGTGATAAGGACCGCTTGGTTGTGCGAGTGACCCGGGAAGGCTTCATGGGCTGAGGGTGCCGTCGGGAGGCTCACCTGCATGGCCGAGAACAACGAAAGGGGCGGGTCCAAGGAGGAGCCAACAGGTCCTTGCAACACATCCGCAGCTGGGCCAATCTGGAACTGCAAAGTGTCGACATCCTGCAAAAAGAGGGGTTGGGACATGAGCGTCAACCATCCCCAGGAGCACTTAGCGAGCAGAAGGTCAACCTCAGTCTGCATCGTCTGGGCGGCGAGAGCGAGGACCGCAATAGCCCTGCAAGTGGAGTCACGAGGACACATAAGCATGCAGAGACGGCCTCCCAGCGGCCGAAGGTCAACCGGCAGCCAAACTTGACGCCATGAACAAGTAGCCGGAGTGAGAAGAAGCTGCTCGCTTGGCAGTCCGGGAAGGACCCCACGGATGGCTGAGGCGGAGAAGACTCCTGCAGGGAAGCCCAAAGTAGCGGCAAGCCGAGCATGCAAAAGCGGCCCATGCAGCCATTCGTCAACCAGAAAAGGGACGGGGCACGGCTCGAGAATGGGGGCACCAGGCGGTGTGCCCACAAAAACAGCGATGTGCCGACGACTGCGGTCAGTGCGGGGGAGAAGCAAGTTCCCCGTGCGACCGACAGGGTAAACTTCACACATTTCCTCGGCAGTGGGAGTGGGCAGGACAGGCCCTGTACTGAGGACAGGGAGGCCCTCATGGAATCCATGGGCATGCAATTGCACAGCAGTAGGAAATCGCAGACACCAGGAGGAGACAACCGCCGCACCAAGGTGAAGGGTGGCGCCATCGGCGACGGAGAGATAGAGCAAAAGAATCGTCACCTTTAAGCGTGGCCCACTGGATCGGCATGGACGCACTTTGGCACGGTATCGAGCCCCTTGAATCTTAAGACCCGCTGAAGGGCCCCCCGCGCCACAGACCACACTAGGCATCCGAAACACAGCAACCTTGAGGCAAATGACCCAAGCCGAAGTCAGGACAAGCTCATAGGCACGGTGCCATTGATGCAATGCCCAAGACAGGGCGAGAAGGACCTGGGGGTAAAAGACCAGACCCCATCCTGGGAGGAAGGGATGCCGGCGCACCGCAGCATTGGGTTGGGACTCAAGGCGGCATCCGGGAGTAATGCCAGTAAGGCAAGGGCCTCACTGATAAGAGCGCACCCCACTGAGGAGACAGGTGATCCAACAACAGCCGCAGTCCACCATGCGGTAGCCGACAAAGTACTGCCAAGCTGCCAAGAGCGTCGCCACGAAAGTCTGGGCCCATACGACCTCAAGAAACGTCCCGTGACCAGTGAAACCCGGCGGAGAGCTATATACACTATTAAACAGCGCCCGAGGAAAATGCTAATGGCCGCCCAAGTGAGGTCTGCCCAAGCAGAACCCACCGAGTCGCCATCAGCAGGGCAAGCTGTCACATGTGTCAAAGCATCCCGGCAGGCATGGAGGTATGCGCTTCTCGGAGCTCCCCATTGAAAGAACCGCTTCAACCAGTGTCGCAGATTCAGCGGTCTGTAGGATTCACCACATTTCGTGGGAAGGGACATGAAATCCGGCACAGAATCTGCACATGCGCATTGGAAGCGGGCTCGGCTGCAAGATACCCCTGCTGGGGCAGGCCCTGCTCCACCACAAGCGATGGGTGTAGCCATTCTTGCCACGTCCCGGGGGCATAGCTGAAGGGGTCGTAGATGCTCCCAGTGGCTGCATGTGCCGCTACAAGCACTCCTTGGCGTACCTTGGACAAGGCACCGGTGCAACTCCGCAGGCGATGCAAGACGTCTTGTAGACGAAGGTGGAGGTCTTCCAGTAGCTGCAGAGAGGGCCCTGCAACCACATGGAGCAACATGTCCCAGGCACCATCCGCTGCCTGTACAACCTGCTCCACTGCTTGGTCGTCGACGACACCAGGCAGGGCTGCATCCTGCTCCGTACACACGGACAGCTCCCCGACAACGTCCGATCCGCTGTCGGCAACCATGGCCAGGACTGCCAGCCATGCACGGCACCAAGCCTCTTGGACAGCTCCAGGATCCGGCACAAGTTCCGCGTCGTCCTCCACTTCGGTCTGTCGGGGCCTAAATATTCCCTAAGGAGTAAGTCCCGTGGAGGGTTGTGCCCACGGCTCGCCCACTTCCACAGGTCCCGGGCCTCGCCTGGGGCTTTTGGATGGCCTGTCCGCAGTCCCACTTCCGCGCTTTCGCCACCGTGTGACCTGTCTGTGGGCCGGCTCCACGGTATCGCTCCCAGGATGAGGCGCCATATTCACATCCTGAAACGCGCCACCAAAGCTGACCTCGGATCCCTCGCGGGCCGAAGGCAACACAGCAGTCGGTCCAGCAAGGATCTCGCCCATGTGGAAAGGAGCAGGTGCTTGAGGTTGACCCGAGCTCGACTGTCCCCCGCCAGCGTGAGCCAGGTGGCTCGGCATAGTCGTCGGCGTGCCGACAGCAGCAAAAGCCTTCAGCGCAACAGCAATGCGTTGAATTTCGGCCTCCTGCGCACCATGCCAGACGGCACCAAGGGCAGATGTCGCCGCAGCCACTTTCTCGGAGGATGCCGTTGAAGGCTGGTGTACGAGAACCTCCTGCAGTTCTCCCACAACTGCAACAATATCTTCGTCGAGCTTGTTGCCGATGGCTCGGACCCGACCCACGAGGCCGAGCAAGTGCTGGCTGATCATCGTCAACCATGCCCCCAAGGACGTGCCAAGCTCCTCTTTCGCACGCATGTCGCCTGCAAGACGTTTTGAAAGCCGAGCCAGAGAATTTGCACGTCTTTGCGCAAGCTGTTCGACGGACGCCTCGTCCGTGGTGAATGCTTGCTGACCCCAAAGATCTTGGGTGGCTCTTGTCGATATAGATTGCAGAGCGGACGCGACAGCGGAAGGTAGGCGGTATTCCACACGCGATTGCTGTGGAACATCGACCTTGCTTTGGTTCTTCCCGCCAGCTTTGCCCCCTGCATTGGACGCATTTTGTTTGGGGGCCATACTTCCGTGACGGCTGGAGATCAAAAGAAGATCTGCAGCCGTGAAGACACCACGCTGCAGGGCCCGGCGAGCCTTGTGTCGCGCTCGCCTCCTGCGGCGATGCCACGGAGGGCTGCGAGGACGGTGCCTCGTGATTCTCACCACCCAGCCAGACTAGCCAGAGCCCAAATACAAAGAGCGGAGCGATGGGCAGGAAGCCCTTCCAGGCGTTCATATACAGAATACCACCAGGTTAAACCACGGTCGGCCGCAGCAGCGAACGCGTTTAACCAAATAACCAAATAGGGCCACAAAACAACGGCCAATCGAATGGCAGCGTTGATGTAGCCGAGGAGCTCGCTGCTCCTGTCCCCAAAGCGGGGAAAGCCCCAGCTCCCAAGCCGGATGGCGCGCGTCGCAGGGACGCTGGGGTTGGGTATATACAGTTGGGCCGGACAACACCTGCGGTGACGTCCACACAAACCTGTACTCGAGCCACAACGCCTAAAACCCCGGAACCCCTAATCCCTAAACCCTACAAACCCCGTTCCCTAAGCCCTAACGCCCTAAAACCTCTTCTCCCCAAACCCTAACACCCCTATGATAAGTTTGACGAAATCAGGGTCCGGAGCTGGCACTGCCGTGGGGCCCTGCGGTACGCCGATAAGAGTATCGACGACTATGGCGAAGTTCTCAGTCAGCTTCAGCATATTAGCCCATCGATAAAAGTCGGCGGAGCCATCACCAATAACTGTCAATGTTTTGGTGTGGCGTGACAGGGCAACATGACTTTGATTGACAATGCTCGAAGCTAGCGCCATCGCAGAAGCCGTGAACAACTGCGCGACGTGTTCAGCCATCCGGCCCTGCAAACTAGCAACCGTGTGCTTGCGGTTCATGCAAAACCGCTCGGCGTCCTCCTGTAATTAGTAAAAGCGATGCGAAGACACTCGTCGCCACCGGGGAGCGTGCCGTCCCAAACGTCACCAGGTGCGCCGGTAATGACTCGCAGGCCACTGGGCGATACCCCAAAGCATTAAGCCGCATCACGTCACCGCCGGGGCAACGAAAGCACACGCGAAAGTACACGCCTGGAAGGTCAAGGAGAGAAACGGGATGATCAGTCTCGCGCGAAAATATGTGACCATCAGCGTACCATCCGTGCTCAGGACGTATCAAATTCTGCATGGGATCCCCAACCAAAACAATAATGTGGGGGTCGGTTTAGGAACATAGGCCCCTTTAATGCGTCCCGGCGGGGGCTAATTCCGACCGGTACCAAAAATTTGGGCGGTCTAATTAATGCGTTTTTTTTGGCTGGGGGGGCTTTTTTGGTGGCCGGGCTGTGCTGTTTGCTGATGGTCAATCTTAAGGCAGCCACGACCTAAACCCCCACCCAAACCCCCACCCAACCCTAAAACCCTGGCCCTGAAGCCCGAAAATCTCTTGCAGAATTGTTTCGCTTATTGGGGCGTCAGGAATGAAAATCTGTACTACTATACTGTACTACTATTCTACTATACCTTGATTATTGGGGGGGGCTGCTAGGGTGAACCGCCGAATCGGGGATTGGACCCTAGCTCAAAAGAGGCCTCTCCAGTACTAAAGTTTGTACTAGAAGGCAATTGGCCCGAAAGCATCATCAGCGAAGATTGTGGGGTTATGTGGTAGATCCAGTGTATAGGATCGTAAAGTCACAGAATCAAGAGTCATAGAGTCCATGAGTCATGAGTCATAAAGTCATAGAGTTGCAGTGACATAGCGTCATAGAGTCGTAGTGAGATAGAGTCAGTGTATAGGATCGTAAAGTCACAGAATCAAGAGTCATAGAGTCCATGGGTCATGAGTCATAAAGTCATAGAGTTGTAGTGAGATAGAGTCACGGAGTCGTGGAGTCATCTTTGTACCATACACTTGACTCGATGTAGTTCACTCTATGCTCTGTGTGTGGGAACGCTTAATCAAGATCCGCCTAGCGTGAGGGCTCAGAGCCTGACTTGGACCTCGAAATGCCGATACAGTCAAGAGTCGTAGAGTCCATGAGTCATGAGTCATAAAGTCATAGAGTTACAGTGAAGGCTCATACCCTGACCTGGACCTCGATCGTGTCGCGAGCCTCAGGTAACAACAGGACCATCGGCCTTGATAGCAGCAAAAGCAGATCGTCCCGCTTGAATCTGCCGCTCTCAATGCTCGTCAAAAAATGCAACTTTACCTCGCGTTCGAACACCCGACCACGCCAATCCCTGTGAAGGGTTGCAAAATGCCAATCCCTGTGAAGGGTTGCAAAAAAAAATGAACTGCACCCAAACCCTGTGAAGGGTTGCGCGGCGCCCGCAAAATGTGTAACTTTACCTCGCGTTTGAACGCCCGAGGAAGCGAATCCCTGTGAAGGGTTGCGCGGCGCCCGCACAATGTGTAACTTTACCTCGCGTTTGAACGCCCGAGGAGGCGAATCCCTGTGAAGGGTTGCGCCGGCGCCCGCACAATGTGTAACTTTACCTCGCGTTTGAACGCCCGAGGAGGCGAATCCCTGTGAAGGGTTGCGCCGGAACCCTAAAATGTGTAACTTTACCTCGCGTTTGAACGCCCGAGGAGGCGAATCCCTGTGAAGGGTTGCATTCCCGATGGACGCTGACGGTGCCACCCCCGGCTTTAAAAGAGTAATTAATTAAGTTAGTAATAAGTTAGTAAGTTTTAGTAAGTTAGTAATAAGTTAGTAAGTATAAGTTAGTAAGTAAAGTTAGTAAGTAAAAGTAAGTCGTAAGTAAGTAAGTAAGTATCGTAAGTAAGTATCGTAAGTAAGTAAGTAAGGTAATAAGGTAAGTAAGTAAAGTCAAAAGTAAAGTAAAGTCAACAAGTAAGTTAAGTGAGTAAGTTAAGTAAGTAAGTTAAGTAAGTAAGTTAATTAAGTAAGTTAAGTAAGTCAGTTAAGTAAGTAAGTTAAGTGTGTAAGTTAAGTGTGTAAGTTAAGTAAGTTCAGTAAGTAAGTCAGCAAGTAAGTCAGTACGACAAGTAAGTCACTAAGTAAGTTAGGTAAGTAAGTAAGTCAGTGAGTCAACCAGTAAGTAAGTAAGTCAGTATAGCATACAGTCAAGTAAGTTCTATGTCTGTCATCTATGTACTCATCTGGGCGGCTCCGCCCGGAAGAACCCTTCGCGATGCTTTCGGGAATAAAAAATTAAGTTTTGGGTCGAATCTGGACCGACCCCCCTTTGGAAGGGTTTAGGGCTTATAGGGTTTAGGGTTTGTTATAGGGTTTAGGAGTTTAGGATTCGTTAGGGTTTAGGGTTTGTTAAGGTTTAGGGTTCAGGGTTTAGGGTTTCAGGCGCTGGCTTTATGCTTTGCTTATTGGGGGAATGTGCTCACTGGCTTTATGCTTTGCTTATTGGTACTATTTCTGTACTATTACTGTATTACTACTGTACTACTGTGGTACTACTACTGTACTACTAGTGTACTACTGTACTACTATTGTACTACTACTGTACGATTACTCTACTACTATTGTACTACTGTACTGTTATCGTACTACTACTGTACTACTATTGTACTACCACTGTACTACTGTTGTATTACTATTGTACTACTGTACTATTATTGTACTACTACTGTACTACTACTGTACTATTATTGTACTACGGTACTATAATCGTACTACTACTGTACTACTACTGTACTACTATTGTACTACCACTGTACTACTGTTGTATTACTATTGTACTACTGCACTATTATTATACTACTACTGTACTACTACTGTACTACTATTCTACTATACCTTGATTATTGGGGGGGGCTGCTAGGGTGAACCGCCGAATCCGGGATTGGACCCTAGCTCAAAAGAGGCCTCTCCAGTACTAAAGTTTGTATAAAAAATTAAGTTTTGGGTCGAATCTGGACCGACACCCCTTTGGAAGGGTTTAGGGCTTAGGGTTTAGGGTTTGTTATAGGGTTTAGGAGTTTAGGATTCGTTAGGGTTTAGGGTTTGTTAAGGTTTAGGGTTCAGGGTTTAGGGTTTCAGGCGCTGGCTTTATGCTTTGCTTATTGGTGCTATTTCTGTACTATTACTGTAGTACTACTGTACCACTGTACTACTGTGGTACTACTACTGTACTACTAGTGTACTACTGTACTACTATTGTACTACTACTGTACTATTACTGTACTACTATTGTACTACTGTACTATTATCGTACTACTACTGTACTACTATTGTACTACCACTGTACTACTGTTGTATTACTATTGGGGTCTGGAATTAATTTGGGATTTTTTTCTTGTTTTGGCATTTTTTTTTTGTGGTTTGCTTGGCCGTGTTGCATTGCCTTGCAGGGCACCGAAGATCGTGGGGGTTCCTTTCTGAGCCTGCAGATTTACAGCTGAGGGTTTGGGGCGTTGGGATTGGGTTTTAAACTCAGGGCTTTGAAATCGAACCTGTGTATGGTGCTGCGTGCTCAGTTCTGATACCATGGATTGCTCCTACGTTTGCTTCTCATGTTGCTATTGCTGCCCCTGTCGTGTTAAGTCTTGTGGCCCGTGTCAGCACCCTAAGCCGAAACCCTAAATTTAAACCCTAAACTCTTTGCACTAAACCCTACACCCCATACCCTAAACCCTGAACCCCAAACCCAAACATTTTCCGCGCCCACTCTAGGCCCACAGAACAAGTCCTACATCCGAAAACCTCAAATGCCGCCTAGCTCTAAACCCAACAAGACCCCTAGTAGTAGAAGTAGTAGTAGTAGGAGTAGTAGTAGTAACTAGTAGTTGTAGTTGTAGCACCAGTCGCAGTAGCAGTCGCAGTAGCAGTAGCAGTAGCAGTAGTAGTAGTAGTAGTAGTAGTGGTAGTACTAGTAGTAGCAGTAGTAGTAGTAGTAGTAGTAGCACTAGTAGTAGTAGTAGTAGTAGTAGTAGTAATAGTAGTAGTCGTAGTAATGGCAATAGCAACAGCAACAGCAATAGTAAGAGTAAGAGTACTAGTAGCAGTGAGAGTAAAAGTAGTAGCAATCAGCAATAACAACAGCAACAGCAATAGCAACAGCAAGAGCAATAGTAATAGCAATAGCAATAGCAAAAGCGATAGCAATAGTAATATAGCAATAGCAATCGCAATAGGAAGAGTAAAAGTAATAGTAATAGTTGTCGAAAATAGGGGACCCTCATAGTACCCATAAAATAGTAGGATCGTTATTGCGAGGCGCCCAAAATAAGGTACCTCTAATGCCCTCATTT